CATCCCACGAAGAATAAGCTCCCTGCTGGTCGTGTTCGTACTTCTTCTTCAACTCCTCAAGATACTCATCTGCTCCATAGAAGATCGATGCCTTGCTGTGGGCGGCCTTGCCCAGGAGCGGGGCACTTGTCGCCATGGGCACGATGGCAACTGAAAACTGAAAGGTCGGTTTGACTTCGAGACTTCCAAAGTCTGGCCTGCAGCACGCCTGGCAGTCTGCATGCCTTCCTCCTCCAATACTCTGCCATGCTGCACCATAATATACTGCACCTTGCTATGTTATACTATGCTCTGTACTGTACTAGACTGGACTAGAAATATACTGTACTATACTGTACGATGCTGCACTATGCTGCACTATACTATACTGTACTATACCATACCATACTACACCATGCTATGTTGTACTATACTATACTATGCCATACTGTACCATGCTATATTGTACTATACTACACTATACTATACAATACTATAGTACTATATCATACTATACTGTGCTGTTGCATGCGCACCTGAAACCCATGTTGTCACACCCCTGTTCAGGCCCCTACCTGAAACGAGTTCAACCGGGCGCAACAGCCTCAAATCAACCTCCCTAAACCCTTCACCCTGAACCCTCGACACTAGCCAAATCCTACAGCCTACATCCACAGATCTTGACCTCTCAACCCTAAACCTTAGCCTAAATCTTAAACCCTAAATTTCCCAAATCCTAAACCCGAAACCCTGCCGCACATCAGCTTCGATGAGCCTCCTCCAAGCGATCCGACTCCGAAGAAGCCGTTTCGCTCACCTTACGGGTCGCGAAAGTCTGGGGTAGCCTGTCAAAGGTTCGAACTCCCCGCTCTGAGGAATGGACTGACAGGTAAGCGTCAATGGCGCGCGAATAGTTGCCAGTCTCCTGCTCAGGGGACAAAGCTCAAGCCCAGCCCCTGCAAGAAATTTTTGCTTTTGCCTCAGAGATTATGTCTAGTGAGTTGCACCCTGGTGCGCAGTTTGCAAGCATGCCCCTGCAGGTCAGTCAATCAGTTCCTCTACTAGATTCAGTTGCCAGACAGCACCTCCGCCCTGAACTTTGCACGACAATTCCAAAAGGCCCTGGAGAACTGCCGCCAGGGGGCCTCGTAGATTTTGGCAGCATCCAGGATCTCGTCCAGGCTCTGCGCTGCGCCTGGCCGTGTTCAGCTTGATGCTGAGCCCACTTGCCAATATCACACGGCTAGTGGATACTGACGTGGATGGTGACTTGCAGATCTTGGTTTCTGCTCTCCCTTTTTAGAGCTATCTTACACCTCGCTGGTATCACCCGACCTCTGTAAGTCGTGTTTCATGGCATGGAGCACTGCTCCCCCTGCGCCTGGAGCGGCGGCCCCATCACCGTAGGAGTCGACCACGTCACCCAACATCTGCGGGCAGTGCTTCTTGCAGACCTTCGGAATGGCACGAGTGAACCAAAACAGTCTGTACCACCATGCCGGCGGCTTGCAATGCCAAACACTGCCATCTCGCACTTGATGAGATAATCAGGTCTGTGATCGCTTTGCTGAGAACAGCACCCTCACCGCTTCGTTCACCATGCGCTTGGAGGAATATGCCTTCCGAATTCCACCATGAAGGGGTGTCTCCGTTCGTGGGATCAGACACCGCGTGCCTTCACTGCCAACTCGGGCTTGCCGGCCTGCACGAAGAGGTTCTCGGCGGCCTGCTCACCAAAGTAACAGTTTTTGTATAGCTCTCACAAACATTGGTTCCTTATGTGCCCCTCCTGCATGTTGTTCTGATCGACAAGATCCTTGGCATGGTGGACCATCACGTCCTTCACGCTCTCGCGTTCGTATGCCTGGCACAGCCAAAGCAAAGCTAGAGACTCTCTGCACAAGCCATGGAGTCCGCCTCTGCTACACGCATGGCTGACACCCAGTCGCGGCCATGCACGTACCTGGCCGGCTTGCATGTGTAGATCTTCAACCAGGTTGCTCTAGGAATTGCGGGCTCCGTCACAGAAATATGCCCAGGCGCATGTCGATGGCTTCCTTGGGCTTGTTCGCCTTGATGAACTCCTCCTCTGCTAGCTTAAACCTCGGGTGGAACATGCACAGACCTCTCAATGAAGTGAGGGATGTGCCGCGATCTTTCCTTAGACAGCGGCTGCTCATCATCCTCTAAAGCCAATGCCTCGAGCAAACGAGTCTCGCTGCTAGGGTTATAATACAATATAAGAGGATAGAACGAAATATGATATACTAAGGTATGCTATACTGTAATGGAATATAACATACTAGAATATACTAGAATATACTAGAATATACAGTAATATACTACAATCTACTGTAATATACTGTAAAATGATATAATATAATATGATGTAATGTGATATAATATAACATAAAATAACATAATAGAATATATTATAATATAATATAACATAATCTAACATAACATAATATAATCTACTATACTGAAACCAACAACGCCCCACCTTCTTGAGGTGAATGTCCGGAAGCTTGTGCTTCGCAGAGTGGTTCGCCAGCTCGAAAGCATGCTGGAAGTTGCTATGCTCCACTGCATAGTCGATGGCCTCTGATCCATCTTTGCCACTGCTCAAAGATCCGTGCCAGTGCGTGAGCCGAGGAGTCCACGATCTCGATGAGGCCGTGCTTGGCAAGCAGCTGTGCACCAGCCTAAGGGGCATCACACAACACGGTCTGGAAGTTTCAAGGCTTTCCAGCCTCGGCTCCGTGTTCCTTGAAGGTCGCCTCCCATGCGCACAAAACTTCTGAGGCTTTCTAGGTTTAGGGTCTATTTCGTCTTCTTAGTCTACTTCCCCTCCCCCTTCCCACGTAACACCAGCGGGGGCGGCGTGAGCTTGAGCCAAGACCACCTTCTCGAAAGACTGCTTGCCGCCGTTAGCCTCGCACAGAAAACTGAGCACTCGTGGACATCGACCCAGCTCTTGGATTCGTGGAAACTGGCCTTTGCCACCCGCTTCGCATCTTCCCACTTCTCGAGCTGGCGGTACATCGACATGGCGCTGGTCCACATCTTCGCCTCGAAGGCTATGGACAGAAGGTCTCACCGTTCTTTAAATACATGTCGTGTGTTCGGCATCACGTCTACTGCATGTCTGGGATGGTACCATTCATGTCGAAGGCTGCTATCAAGACCATCAAGACCCAGCCCTCGGCCTCAACATAGTAATGCTCGGCTTTCTTGAGGTTGCCCTTCATCTCGTACTGCTCTGCAATGTGCTTGTAGGTATCATTCAAGAGCTCCTCGGATATTTTCGCGGCCAAATCAAGCCAATCTCCTATGCTCTCAGCGGCAGGTCCTTGCGGTACTTGGATACCAAGCGCAACATTTGCTCGTACTCCTCACGCTTCTTGTACCTCAGCTGCAACAAGCTCTGCCGCAAAGCATTTGAGAGGTGAGGCTTTGAGAAGGTCGCATGTTGATGGCCAGATCAAACTCGTTGACGGCCAAGTACATCTGTTCAGCCTGTACCAGGCAGCACGGCTGATTCACTGATTGACTCATCTCAGGCCCCATTCTGATTCAGGGGGGTTAACGGCTAACATTGAACGACATGAACACCAGAATTCAAAGAAGATAAGGACATTGGAAGGGGGTGCCGGCCTCTTGCAGTTTCACCGACTGCTCCAGCCCCTGGCACTGTTGGCACTAAGACAACTAACACGATCTCAGCCTCAGAACTGTCTCCTTGCCTGCGCCAGGGCAATGTAGAGCTCTGTCCTCTCTGCAGGCGAGAGGTGTGCTTTTGCAACACGGTGAGCTTTCTCGTACCTGCAAGCACGGCACGAAGCCAAGCAAACAGGAACCCAAGTTGATGAACATCTCCAATGGCCCACGACAGCCCGCGCGCACTGCGCGTGCTCGACGTACATCTGCACCTTGGGGAAAAACATGATGTTCACGCAGTCTGAACACGGTAGGAACAAAGAAGCAGAGAAGGCTCAGGGCGTCGCAGCCCGCTGCGGTCGGCCAGACTTGATGAAAGCACGTTCTGCTTGGTCGAACCTCCGCTGAAACTTCTGAAGACCATAACTCTCTGCTGCTGCCCTCCATGCACAGAGAGGTCTCTGCTCGAGCTGGCAAGCCTTTTGCGCTGGGCTGCGCTAACAGCCTTCGCAGCTTCTGGATGGTGCGCCTTCGCGCCACAAATCCGGAAGCGTAGAACCAACAGAACCAAGAGCTCTTTAAACGAAGCCGAACCATCTGCCCGATCAAGCTACGAGCAGATGACCCGAAGACAAGAAGCCTCAGACTTCGACGTGGACGCTCTGCTCCACAGCATCGAGGGCTGCAGCATATTTCGACGGCACGCAGCCGTTGGCACACTCAAGCGTCCCTCGGCACTTGCTGTGGATCGCACACTCAGCGGCCTCCTTTGTGCAGTGCAGTGCTACACAGGTTTTCGAAGGCGGGAAGCCAGGGCAGCGGTCCCTCAGGCACTCCATCAACGCCGCGAAGTGCAGACCATCCTCCGTCTTGGCAAGACCCTCCGTGCAACGCGCCTCGCACATGACGCCGCTGCGGCACGTCGAGGAGAAGAGGCACTTTGCCAAGGTCGAGGTGCAGTTGCCCAAGACGCAAAGAGCTTTCGGGGCCAAGGTGGACGGGTCCACTGGACAGCCGGCGATGCATTGGAGCGTGTCGTCCAGAGTGCTGTTGAGTAGCACTCCTGCTTTTCGTAGCATCGTCTGGTCCGGACTCTGGGCACACGCCAATGCCAGCGACAGGACGAAGATTTTGGCAACGCCTGCCATGACCTGCTAAGTAGAGGGATAACCTGTGTGTGCAACTTGAGCAAAGACGACCTGTGGCAGCCAGTTCCCTGGAGTGGAGCTGCGCTTTGTGACATGCTGCAGCTTGCAGATCATCCAAGAGGCTGCCTGTTGTCCGTAAATCTGCGCATGCGACTGGGCATCTGACTGGCGAGAGTGGGCATAGTGCATGGCCAGCTTTTCGTAGAAGGGCAGCGCAAAGCTTTGATCTGCGCCCATTGATGCCTCTTCTCATGCAAATGATGCATGCACAGCCTGTCGCCCTCAGAAAGCTTTCGGCACAGAAAGGATAGTCAGTCACACCTGATCCAGCAATGTCTCCGCTTTGTGCCACTGCCGTGCGGTCCTTGGTTTGGCAGACCCACAGCTCCGATGCTGCTTAAGCCACTTGTCTCGCCCCTGCTACTGACCTCTTACATTGTGCACTCGTTTCTCCAGGCGCTGAACTTAGCATGACGACGGCTTTCACATCTCTGGTGCTCTGAACTTTCTCCTGCTCTTCGTGCTTGCCGTGCGCAGCTTGCTCGTGTGTTTTGCAACCATCTTATAGTGATTGTGCCATGTTTGTTCTGGTTGGTCTCGCTCCTCTTGCTCCTTGTTGTCAGCCTCTCATTTCTCTTCGTGCTCTCGCAGCACCAAAGCCTTCACGCCTGAAACTTTTGTGAGGCTAAGGCTTTTGCCCTTTCCTCACATACCCGGCAGTGCCATCACTCCCACTAGTAAGACTAGTACGACCCTTCTGCCACTTTATCACTGTATCGTGCATGCCATTGCTGAACTGTAGGCGCAACAGTTTATGCGCTTGATTCTCCTTTCTGTTGGGGCATCCGGCACCGAGTGCCAAGCATGGCGGCATCGATTGCCTTCTGAGCTGAGCCAGCCTGGCTGCGTTGTGAGAGCCGGCTTCATATGATGCTGGCATGAACAGGCACCTGTTCGAGGCTTTGGCTGCCAAATGCTCTCAGAAGTAAGACGCTTGACACCTCGAGGACCTTATCCAATATACTCGTGGTTACAGAACTGAACCCGCCTGGGTAGGACTACTGTATGCATGCTCTGCGGTTTGACATTGTTTTGCTTGTCTGTGTACATATATTCATATGTGTGTCCTTTGCTGTTTTGGTGGGAGATCTCTGCCTCCTCGTTGTATTCTTCGAATATTTCAGAATCATCTGCGCTCTTTGCTGTGAGCTGCTGTTTAGGCAACATCGGAGGACATATAGACACCACCGGACTCTTTGGACAAGACTACTGCCGTCGGCGATACAGCAAATAAACAATAAACCGAACAGCCACATCATCAACTACAATCTACTGATGTCGAAGGATTGTACTCAAGCCACACCGCCAAAGATCTGCCCTGTTACAACGTTTGTTCTGATGAATACTTATCAGGGTCCTATCGTGGAAGTACGAAATCTGATTTAAATTTAGCTGGGGGAAGGATTCCAAACGAGATGTCGCTGCACCTCATTACCGCTCCTACTGATGTGAAAAATCATTCTGGGCATACAATCTTCTACCTGTGTAATGGTGACTGCCAACGTACACGTGCTGACCACTCTTGCTTGTTGTCTACTGCTTTTGGTCTTGTTGTTCATGGTCTCCTCCGGCTGTTGTCGCCGTCCTTACCAGATCGCCAAGACTAGAAAGGCAGCAAAACGGGCCTCGATGTAGTGATTGATTGCTGCATCCACCTGTAATCAAAGTCGACTGTTCTCGCGCATATTTCGGAGAGTCACCGCAGTGCACCGCAGTGAGCCATGCCTGCCGCTGCGAGACCAACCAGTCGCCCCACTCCTCTTCCAGGGCCACCTGAGTACTGGTTCAAATCTTTGGTGATTTGAAATTTGAAGTTGGCTTGCTGGGACTGCATCGACTCCAGAGTGCAGAGGAGGTCCATACTATCGAAAATGAGCGTCTGGCCACCAGGCCAGGCTGGGAGTGCTTCGCCAGCTCGATGGCCTGACTTTCATGCGATCACGTGGCCGTGTACACCGGAGCCAGGCGCCTGTCGGTAGGCGTGTCCTCGACGGTACGCATCCATGGCCGGCTGAATCAGACCCATTCGCTCGTAGAGGCCACCGGCACGGTCATGCATTCCGCTTGCCTTGCACAGAATTGCCCACTGGATTCACATGTCGAGACGGCCTGTCTAAAGAGTCCAGCCCGAAATCATCTGACACTTGCAAAGGACAAATATGAAGGTGCAGAAAGTGGAGCAGTGAGCCTGAAGCCCGGCAACGATCTTCTGCAAGAGCTCCTGCCACACCGGCCCATCAGGAGCACTCTCATTATCCAGCAGGAAGGAAGGAGCGACTACAAGTACATGCGACCACTGTTGGTGCACACGTGCCCGAAACCGTCAGCGAAAGCAGCACAAGAGTCAGGTCTATGTGCTTGGGCAGCAGGCGCAGATGTGGCAAGACGAGCCGATCCTGGGAGTAGTTTGCATTGTGCCGCTGGACCACCGCCGCAGCCTGCGTACCAGGACTGCGTCTACCAAGATATCACATGAATCATGCGCACGTGAGGCAATCGCCGTGTTCAGTCGCGGCCTTTGCAGCCATACCCCCGCGCAGGTACAGTTCGATAGCCCTGGCAGTTTGGAAACGGTGAAAGCTCCGCGTAGATGCCGTGCAGTACTGCAGCCCATTTCAGCCCAAAGGGAAGCCAAACGCCTCTTTTGCTGTCTTGTGGGATTGCAAGTCTCCACGGCCCGCTCCGATAGAACTTGAGGGTGAAACCGAAATAAGTGAAGGTCTGGCCGCTGCTCACTCCTTCAAGGCGGGGGCCTGAGACAGACGAGCAACGCCGCGCAACTGGAAACTCCCCAGACACATAAACGGTCAGAAAACACTGCCAAGGATGCCTATGGCAATCCGGGCCGAGCACAAGCAGTGACGTCGCTTGAAACGGACATGCACTCTTCCAACAGCTTCGGAAGTTGATCGTCAGGCCTTCTTCGGCACTGCAAAGCCGCGCTCGCCGTGGTTGGCAAAGATGCTCGGCGTGCGCCACAGGTCTCGGCTCCTCGTCGGGAATACAGCCGCCAGCTACCTCTCTGCACATGCCCTCTTGTGCATGGACAAAATCTGAAGTATCGTTCATTGGGCGCGTGTGCTCCTCTGCCGTAGCTTCGGCTGCATGAGAGTCTCTGTGAATTCCCATGGACGGGGTTCTCCCGTCCGCCCTCTCACCTCAAGTTGGAAAATAAATCCCACCAGACCTTGAGGCGATTTATTTTCAGGCCGCGACTCCAGTAGGCAACTTGGTGTAGATTGCCAACCTTGGCAGCAACCGGGCATTTCCGGAGCCTGGCAAAGCCATCGTGACTGAGATTCAAGCATCGTGTTGCCATACTCCCGATTCCTGAATCACAGGCACTCCGTCTGCCCTCTGTGTCCCGACTCTCATCAGCCCTCTCCTGCCTGAGTCCGTGCAGGACAGGCACCCCCGCGGCCACGTCGTCGAAGTCATCTTCGTCGTCGAAGGGCGCACAAAGCACCGGAGGCAGGGCACCTCAAAGACTCGAATGCAAACGACAGCGCTCCCAACACAGCTTGAGACCTCTTATTTGGAGCGCCTAGCTCTCGAGGGTACTCGATGCAGACAAGCGCGTCTCGCTCGATGAGCTCCGATTTTGCTAGGGCCTTTCAAGCAGCTCAGACAGGTGAAATACCCTAGCGAACAAGGCCTGGGCCCGTGGCAGTGCAGAGCTGGCGGAAGGAGATCTCGTCGGGGTTGGGCGACACCGTCTGTCAAGTCAGGAAAACAGAGACTCGACGGTGATTGGCTCTCCTCCACTCTCTTTAGCTTCTGGAGCCTTCTCTGACACCTGGCTCCTTTTCGGCTTTGGCTTGAATCTTCGCTTGTTTCGGCATCTGGAGATCGCAAGCCACAATCCCCGACAGCCGAAAGCTCACACGGGCTCAGCAATCGCGAGAAGGAGCTACAAGCATAGTGAACAGGTTTGAAGCATCTTTCGTGACTTCAGCTTTGCCGGCCAAGGTCCTAGACCAAATCTAACAGATGGCCGCTTTCGGTTCCAGGTTGGTCAGTCCAACCCACTCGAACGGTTCGCTCCGTTGTTCACGCTTCCTTCACTTCAACCACCGATGTGTCCAAATCTATGTGCTAACTTCTGAGATCTTGATCCGCCCTTTGTCCGGATTCCTATCAGCCTTTCCAAACCGCGGCTGGGGCACGACCAGATTGAAGCTGCGGTTTACCAGGCCATACTTCTCGGGATCCTGGTCGCCAGAACTGGCAAAAGCGACCGAAGCTCCCAAGAGAGAGAGAGAGAGAAAGAGACAGAGAGAGAGGGAGGGAGAGAGAGGGAGAGAGAGGGAGAGAGAGGGAGAGAGTAAGTATTAAGTATGATATAAGTACAATATAGTATCCAATAATATAGCCTAGCCTTGAAGGATACAGTATTAACACAAAAACACTACAGCATAGTCAGTGGTAGAGTATCAAATAACATCGCATAGCATAATTTGATTTAGTGTAGTCAAAACAAGAAAAAACAATATAGTCTAGTATAAGAATGAGTTGCAGCAACCGAGACCAGCCTCCAGAAAGTCCAGGACTTCTGCCTGCAGACTTCCCGTGTTTAGGGTTTTAGGGTTTCGGGTTTGGGATGTTGGTTGAATGATGCAAAAAACTGGTTGTGATACGGCCTGGAGATCTGAGGTTTTTGATGCGGTAACTGTTGGAAATGGATGTAAAATGACCGAGGGAAAAAATGTGATCAAGAATGTGAACATAAGTAGAGACAAGGTGAAGAAAAAGGTGACACACCTGCTTCCACCTCCTGCTAGCATTCTTTCTCGTTTATCGCTGTGTCTATGTATTCATCCCTCGGTCCCGGCACTTCCGTCCACTTTGCCTGGGCGAGTAATGTTGTGAAATCAAAAAATAATGTCAACTGCTGCCGAGGTCCCGCACGGTATGTGGAAAAACATCTACCCAAAGATTGCTAAAACTGACCTATCTACATGTCGATCTACCTGTTGTTTCCCGTCCTGCCCGTTGTCACACCCTGACATTCCTCTGCTCGCTCACTGACTGCTGAGTTATGCCAATCGGTGATTTGTGGGTAGATAACACGAACGCAGCGTACAGGTGGGAAATCATGATTCGTCATATGTGCCCTCAAACCGTCTCCAACTGTTTCACAGGACTAGTTTTCTCAGTCAGCCCACTGATGTATCGACCAAGCTCAAAGTTATCTTTTCCCCGCGACTCTGACCACATGCATTATGCATACATACATGCAGATTTACGTGTGTACGTACATACATGCTGCATGCATCTGTCACATTTGTTTGCCTATCTTATGTCTGCACATACACTGGAGCCATCCATGCAAGATTCTGTGTATCTAGCTACATGTCCACAAATGCAGCAAATGCTTGTATGGACGGTGTGCATGCATGTCCTTGCGCAAGCATGTGCGCATGCCTACGTACTGAAAGCACTTGTTGTCTGGTGTCATGTACTCTGTCTTTCCGACTTGGTGGACTTCGGGATTCCTCCGGCTGTGCAGTGCCGTTCTCCTGACTTCCTCGCTGCTCTGTCTGCGCCCAAGTTTGCCTAGCGACTTCGTGTTTTTTGCTCTTTGCCTTTGGATTCGGAGCATGCCCACTGCCGTCCGGTTCCACTGCTGCGAGGGTATCGGCGCACGAAACCGGGGTTTGTCCGCAGTCACGGTCCCAATTTGAGGTTCCCTCAGTTTCAATCCTTCCCCGAGGCCCACATCGGAGTCTAAGCCGGGAATGAGTCAAACGAGTGATGCATGCACATCCGCAGCACACGTTGATCCATCTGGGAGGGGGCCCCGCCTTCCCTTAGCAGCCCCTTTTGCATTGTGGCATGTTCGGGAATGTCTGTGTATATGTGCGTGCATGCTGTGTATATATATATATACATATGTATAAATAAATAGATATATATATATATATGTATATACTATATATATATATATATAGATATACATGTCTGTAATATAATATCAAAATATAATATAATATAATATAATATAATATAATATAATATAATATAATATAATATAATATAATATAATATAATATAATATAATAATATATAATATAATATAATATAATATAATATAATATAATATATTTAATTT